CAGATATAAGTGGCTGGATTGTGTAACTGTGTGTCAAAGAATTTAATGATTGGGCCAATGTTTCAATTTTTGATTCTCCTTTAAAAGATAAGGTTCGTCCAGTATGCATTTCTAAATTGAATCCTGATTGATCTGTATTGTATGTATTACAGTCCCCTACTTCTACGATAAGTTTGTTTATATCTTCAAGGAACACTGTAGTCTGTTCTTTAAGTTTTGCTTTATCAAGTACAGACTTTTGCGTTATAAATTTATTAATTTTTCGCGACACAATGTTGTATTTTTTTTTTAAAGTATGCAGCCATTTTGACGATGCTGTGAAGGAATCGGGGAAAAGCGAAAGATCGTCACGAGCTTTTAAAGCCCATCTCCGAATGTCAACATCGTGAATTGTTAATGACTTTTCGACTGCTTCTCGAAATTGGGATATAGCGTATTCAGAAATTTTCTCACCTTTGTATCATGAGTATTTAACATGGATTTTGTCGTCTTTTGTTTATGCTGTTTCCATGGAACCAAATGTGGCGTGGGGGGATTACGTGTATAAACAACAAATAACCTGTGCAAAGAAATTTTCTATTATTCAATATCAGTGTATCAGAATGAATCCAAAAAATATTATACGGCTTTTGCAAGAAGTGTTTGATCAACCACAATATAATTTTGAATCTGTTGTAACCGACGATGAAAGAACTTTCAGTGCTCAATTAGAAATTCTAATAAAAGATGCAATCAGTGATGTGTTATTTGTGGAAACGCATGAAACGTTAATTTTTGATGATCAAAACGATACTGAAAATTGTGTTTCAAACATAGATGAGGACATTCCTGACTTTGAGAGTGAATCGTATTCCGACAGGGACTTGGACCCTTCCGAAATTGAAGAAGTCGATGATGAATATAAACAAAAAGTCATCGAATTTTGGAAATCAGGAAAAAAAAGAAAATTGAAATTTGAAAATGTGCAAAGCAAATTTAGGCGATTAAAATCAAAGCGTCAGTTATATCGTTGGGAAAAACAACTAGAAAAAGCAGGAACTAAAAATGCAAAATTGAAGGAAATTTGTGAATATACTATATCCAAATTTCGAGAAGCAGTCGAAAAGTCATTAACAATTCACGATGTTGACATTCGGAGATGGGCTTTAAAAGCTCGTGACGATCTTTCGCTTTTCCCCGATTCCTTCACAGCATCGTCAAAATGGCTGCATACTTTAAAAAAAAAATACAACATTGTGTCGCGAAAAATTAATAAATTTATAACGCAAAAGTCTGTACTTGATAAAGCAAAACTTAAAGAACAGACTACAGTGTTCCTTGAAGATATAAACAAACTTATCGTAGAAGTAGGGGACTGTAATACATACAATACAGATCAATCAGGATTCAATTTAGAAATGCATACTGGACGAACCTTATCTTTTAAAGGAGAATCAAAAATTGAAACATTGGCCCAATCATTAAATTCTTTGACACACAGTTACACAATCCAGCCACTTATATCTGCAAGTGGCTCTTTATTATCTCCCCTATTAATTGTTTTGCAAGAGAAAGATGGGATATTCGGCCCGCGAGTAAAAAGCAATTTATTCAATCCTGAAAATGTTTACGTACTGGCCACTAAATCAGGGAAACTTACATCAGAATTAGTGCAAGAATGGTTCAAAGAAGTTTTCCTGCCATCCACTAACGAGAAAAGTGTTTTACTGTTGGATTCTTGGAGTGGACAAAACTCAAAAATGATTACCAACTTACCAACGTCTGGAAAAACTATTCAAATTAAAACCATTCCTGCTGGTACGACAGGAATGATACAACCCCTGGATGTCTTCTTTTTTCGGCCTTGGAAAAATTTTGTAAGATATTTTTCAGACAATGTCCTGTTACAAAATTACCCCGTAAACTTACATCATAGAAACAATGTCATTAAGCTGCAATCACTTACACACCATCAGTTTTCGTCCCCACGTTTTCAAAATCTTATCAAATACGCATGGTACAAAAGTGGATATACAAAAATTAAACCGTTCCAATTCGATAGCCCCGTCGATTTCTGTTTCAAAAATTGTGAAACTTCTTGTGCAATCTGCGACATGTATGCAATAATACGGTGTGCGTGGTGTAAAAA